ACATTTGTACAAGAATAAAATTAAGCAAGCCCATTTGTAATGATTTATTGAAGAAGTTTTTTTTTCTCTGTCTTTCTTTCTTTCTTTTACTTTTTTATCATTTCACAGGCTGGAATGGGACCCACTCCATACGCAGTATTCCATAAGGGCACTGTGTAAACTCAACAGAACATTGTGACTGTCCCAAGTGATTACTGATCATCGTTTTAATTTGAAATTTTTAGAAAGCCTAACTAGTTTGAACTGAGTTTAACTGTGGAGAATATTTTTCTCTGATTGATAGCGAGTAGGATTAAGAGAGCGGTAATTATTTAACGTCTGGGGGTGGGTCGGAGGACTCTGCACTATTCTGATGACAACCCCCCTCCCCCCTCCCCCCCCCCCTCGTCGCAGTAAATTTTCTATAGTCACCCCTGCTATGTTGGCGACGAATAATACCCAATCTTTCCCCCTGAAAAATTGTGATTCCCTAAGAAAAAACTCTACCCACTCCCTCCCCATGAGGATATGAGGATAAACAATGACTAAAAACACACTAAAATTAACAATTGGTTCCTACGCCAGCGTGCGTTCATCGTGATATGAAACACGTGGGAAGTTTGGAGAGCACGAAAGGTGCGTAAGAGTTAATCGAGGCTACACCTCGAGCAACTCTAGCTAGCAACTCTAGCTTCTTGAGTGCTCTCCAAACTTCCTAAGAGTAGTAAAATGGAACAGTTATTAAGGATTTTCATCGCTGTTATAAGATGAATAAAGTTAAAGGGTTAAAATATTCAAAATAATTCGAAAAACTAGCTTCTTCGAAGCTTAAAAGGATAACGCAGATGTATATTGTAAAAGTACATGGCCGAAACGTTTTGCATTATGGTACAAGAGTTAACTTTTTTTAAGAGCCCTACAACAACCTGGTTTTTGGTAAACTCGTTAACTTTAACATATTGCTGAAAAAAATTAAAAAATTAAAAAATTAAAAAAGGCTTAGAAAAAAACTGCTTTTGATATAACCATTAATTTTTTTTCAGAGGGCACGGGAACGAATGTTACAAATCTGATTGATCCTTAGCGCGGCCCGTATTTTCCTATCTCTGCCACTGGCAACGGCAACGCTTTCGTGAGTCGCTGGGTACATCCCTACCTTCGTTGCCATTTTCATAAACATATCTCATTTTTCCAGTATTTTTAAGCAAAGAAGTTGGTCAGAAGCTCAAGCCGATAAGGAACTAATTAGCCCTTCTCTTTTCTCTCTCTTAAATCACTTTGGTTGACAGAAAAATATTGGTTTCAGAAAGAATTTGTATAAGCCAAAGTCTCATAAAATTGGTTAACAAGCGGCCTGGAAATTAAGGTTAAAACGTGAGGTACTTGGTTACTATTGAATTAATGGATAAAATGATTTGTTCGTAGTAAAAGGGGAGCAAAGTTTTAAGTTCTTCCTCAAAGATGCTTTCGGTGAGTCTTTGCAATTCCGTTCAATTTAGACATTTGTACCGTAAATTACTCCACAGAAACCGAAGGAATTCAATGAGAAAAAGCCGCATTAAATCCTCTTGTGTCTGGTTGAAGTACCTCATTTGAATTTGGTTCTTGGGGAAGAAAGACCAGATTTACACACGGCATTGCAGTAAACAAACTCTCACAACTTTGAAAAATTTGAATTACTGACAATTACTTTCCTTGCCATTAACTTACTGAGGTTTTAAACAATCTGTCACAATCTGATTCCTGTTATTTAGAAAGCGGCTAAGAAAAAAAAAAAGAAAAAAAAAGCAGTTTCACAAGGACTGTCACGACTACATTTTCGTCAAAAACAGTCAATTATCTCACGGAAAGTATCATTCACTCTCATCGACGATTAAATAACGGATAATGTACGAAGATTTACCTCGATTCAGTAAGTAAATGGCAAGGAAAGTAATTGTAAGTAAATTCAAATGTTTTTCATTTTGAAGTTGAGAGAGTTTACTCGTTTGTTTAGATTGTTCCAAAGTTTCTTAAAGATATATATATGTATATGTATATATATATTTAGGACAGCTAGATCTCGGAATTCAAAATTTTTTGGGGGAGTGAAACGGAAAAAGATCCGCATGCGCACTACACCCTCCCCTCGGGAATGCTTTTCGGTTGTATTTATGTATGTACAGCCTGTTTTCATACTTGTAAACGTGTCAACTAAACAAATTACGACGTCTAAAAATACACCTCCTCAAAGGAATGAAGTCGTCAGCGGAGATGGAAATTGTTTTTACCCGCGAGCTCTTGCTCTTTTGAATGATGAAATAGGCCATGAAAAATACGAGGATATCCCTAGGTCAAGTGATAGTTTGCTTGAGAAAAATCCAAAGGTTTTTGTGCTGCTGCTTTTCTCATCGAACTCCTTAGGGAAGAAAGGAAATATCACGGAAAACCCGGCAGAAACCGTGGGCAAATATATTGAAATTAGAACATCGGTTCTTTAGCAACCCATTTGTACCTACACATCCATGCAGAAGAAAGGGTTCAGTTTTGCGCCGATTATTAACGCTGTTTCGTTCCTACTTACCACAAAAAGGAAGCAATCTAGGTGTTAAATCACTTTTAATGCATTACAACAACATTAAGCGCTCATGCACACTATATTAATCTTCTGTTACCTTGAGGTAACTTTTGTGGCGCTCTTCTGTATTACTAAGCCAAGAAAAAAATCCAGGAGTTTATTTAACACACTTGAATAAACAGAAAAGTCTTTACGAAGTTATTTCTTGGCAATTTCTAGCTAATATTTCTTAGTTTAGGGACCATTAGGCGACGTCAATTTCACAGTAAACTTTGCGCGCCTAGAAAAGTTAATCGGTAGATTTTAGGACAAATTTGATAGTTGTTCAAACAAAAACTTACGCCTCCCTCGTATCGCAATGACCTTAATCCATGTCTGATAAAACAGCGGCGAAAAAAAGGTTTTTTTAGACGACAAAATAACCTCTCGCTATCCATTTCTTTCTGACGACTTGCAATGTTTGCCCTGTGCCGGTCCAGTCTGTGCAACTTTTGGAGTCTTGGGGAGTTTCCAAAGGCTTTCAATAGTTATTCAGCAATTAAGGTTACAAGCTTTCATTATTTGTAGCCAGGTGTTACGAGTGTCAGTATAGAGCAGGGTTGTTCCCAGACAAATCTCAGGATCGTCGGTAACAGCAATAAACTGATTTACTTCTCGACTTCTTGATTTTACTGCGCGACTTTACATCACAAAGCTTCACACCTCTCTCTCTTTTTTTTTTTGACGAAACTAACGCTCTTATATACATTAAGTCCAAGGGTTTAGAAACTTCTCTAAAGAACTAAATTAAGAATTTAACTAAGATTAACACCTTTTCTAAATCTGAGTAATTACATGAGAAATAGAACGTTCCAGAATATTCTTATATGAGAACGTCACGGCTGGATGACTTCGGGTTTTAGAGTGAAGAAATGTAAAATGGTTTCCGTGTTTACATAGCCTGATGTAAACACTTGGGATGTTGGTAGAACGCTCGATAAGCTGGAAACCACTCCGCTTCGTGTCGTGGTTTCCTACGCTTATCTCGTTATCTCGTTTACATAGCCTGATGTAAACATTGGGAGGTTGGGAGAACACGAGATAAGCGTAGGAAACCACGACGCGAGGCGGAGTGGTTTCCAGCTTATCGACCATTTTACAAACCATTTTACATATCTTTTAATAAATTACCAATGAAAGAGGAACGGAAACCGTGTTTACATACGCTCATGTAAAATGGTTTTATGGCCAATCAGAGCGCGCGTACTATTTGAATTATTTCATAGTGAAGAAATGTAAAATGGTTTCCGTGTTTACATAGCCTGATGTAAACACCTGGGAGGTTGGGAGAACACGAGATAAGCATAGGAAACCACGACGCGCAGGTGTTATCTTCCGTGCAGGTGTTATAATTCTCGGAATCTTGGGCCTTTTAAGTTCCAGCAGTTATTAATCGTATAACCACCGGAAATATCAACAAACACTTTTAAAAAATATGTAAAACCTTTTTGATTATCTTTTGACTGATTAATTGATTGATTATGTTTTTTTAATGATCATCTCTAAATAAAGCGATGGTCAGATTGGCTTACGTTTCTCTTGCATTCGGAGGCATCTCACTGTTGGTGAACCTGTTGCTTCTGTTATCCAGCTCAGTAAGTCCAACACATTAATTCTAAAAACGTAATTTTAGCATGTAACTGAAAAATAATTCAAGAAGATAAGATTTTATGACGAAATTTGTCTGAGAGGTTCGTAATTAATTCTTCTCTTAGAAATTTAAAACTATTCAGTAGCTTATTCAACGAAAACGGCTTTTCTAAGTCACAATTTCATGAATTAATTTTGCTTTGATAGTAGTGAGTTCCAACGATAATCTCACATTAATTCAACACTTTAAACACATTAAACTATTTGAATTATTTTATAATGACGAAATGTTAAATGGTTTCCGTGTTTACATAGCCTGACGTAAACACCTGGGAGGTTGGGAGAACACGAGATAAGTGTAGGAAACCACGACGCGAAGCGGAGTGGTTTCCAGCTTATCGAGTTGAATTATTTTATAATGTTCTATAAAATGTTCTGGGACTTGACTTAGACAATTTTTCGCAACACCAGGCTTAACTGGTGTGTGAGAATAGGAAAATTTTTTTTGACGGTAGAAAAATTCAGGTTCAACTTTCTCTTGTGTCATTAAAAACAATGGCTTGTATTGCGGAACAAACGGAGAGTGATCGCAATTTTTTTTTTTACTTTCTCTTTCGCCAGACGCTATTTGATACAAAGCGCTTTGTCGAGCTTTGATTAGCATATCAATGAAGAAGACATTAACTTTGCATACGCACGTGAAGTAAAATAACTTAATTATTGAATGAAATCAATAGTAACATTAAACAGGGTAAAATCTCAAAAGTAAAAGGTTTAAAAGCATCCAGCAGCTAAGCTTGAATCAGTTCACTTGAGCTTGACGTTCAGTAGAGCAACTTTGACTAATCATCTTCGATGGCAGTTTTGGTGACAACTTGTTGCTGTGACTCCAGCCTCCGTGGAGGTGTTATGATTCTCGGAATCTTTGGCCTGGTAAGTTGCAGCAGTTATTAATCGTATAACCACCGGAAATATCCTTCTGCTTTTCATACCTTAGTAATGGTAGTTCCGTACAAATCGCGAACTTTAAGTTCCGGGAAAAGTATACCTACAGCAAAGATTAAACACGTGGAAATTTGTTGCGTCGCGTTGAATAATTACACGAATATTAGTGAATGATTTCCAAAACGTTTTTCTCTAGTCAATAACGACTATATTGTTACCAGTAAAATGTCGTGGAAAATAATTTGTCAACGTCAACGCAGAGACATATGCGCATTCTGAAATTTCAGGACGACTGAGCAACTCAGTGCAAACTTCATAACTTTCATTCGGTCAAAAACGGGCATTGTAGAAGAAATTGTTTCACGGTAAAATTAGATGTTGCAGCTGCAACTAATACTTTGAAGCAAAGAAATGATCCTCTCTGGTGACTTGCTGATAAAGAAATCGCAGACTGAGAAAAGACGCTGGAAAAACTTCAGGCTTCAACAGCATTCGAAGGGGTACTTCTCAGATACTAGTCATTCGATGTTATCAACAGAGCTACGAAGTCTCATGACTGAAGCGAGGCAAATTCTATCGGGTTCTTCGTTCCTTTAAAGGAATCTGATTTTTTATAGAAATCTAATTTGATCTTGAGATGATATTGAAGTAAAGACTCGATCAGTGTAGGTGAGCTGTTACTAAAGAAACCGAAGCATTCTGTATTTGCTTTGGTATATCAAATCTGATCTGTAGTTGCGTTCCTTCTTTTTCAGATTGCATCATCTTATTCAATTTATTACCACAATCAGTTAATCAAAGTTTACAAGCATGTAGAGGAGAAACCTGACAAAATCAGCCAAGATTTACCTTTCAGCGAAAAACATTTACCGGGTATTAAAGTTTACTTTTGTCTTGTTCCGTAAAATCCGTTGGGAAGAACACGTGGTTAGGACGAAAATATTTCATTTGTGAGATCATTTCTTGAATTTTGTGAGTTTTTTAATGACTTAAATATACATTTTACATTGGTTCGTGATCTTGTGTGAAAATGAAATTTCAACAAACACTTTTAAAAAATGTGTAAAACCTTTTTCTGCATAAAACGTACCGTATCAGTCAAGACTGTCTCTCATTTTTTGATTATCTTTTGACTGATTAATTGATTGATTATGTTTTTTTTTAATGATCATCTCTAAATAAAGCGATGGTCAGTTTGATTTACGTTTCTCTTGCATTCGGAGTCATGTCACTGTTGGTGAACCTGTTGCTTTTGGGATCCAGCTCAGTAAGTCCAATACATTAATTCTAAGAACGTAATTTTAGCATGTAACTGAAAAATAATTCAAGAAGATAAGATATTATGACGAAATTTGTCTGAGGTTCGTAATTAATTCTTCTCTTCGAAATTTAAAACTATTCGGTGGCTTATTCAACGAAAACGGCTTTTCTAAGTCACAATTTCATGAATTAATTTTGCTTTGATAGTAGTGAGTTCCAACGATTATCTCACATTAATTCAACACTTTAAACACAAAATGCAAAACACAAATCGCCAAATTGGCAGATTTCGCTTCAAGTTCAATCGCCAATTTTTGTTTTTGACTTGACCCAAACAGTCGCAGCATGGAGCGCTGACTTATACTTACTTATTTGTAAGTTTACGTCACTGGTCATCGTTCTTTTTCGTCGCAGGGTGACAGGTGTTTGGCATTTCCTTGGCTTGGGTGGAACATCTGCGAGCTCTTTTGCAGTTTTGTAGTGATCATATTTTACATTTCCATCTGGAATAGGGTAAATTGAAACAACCTTTTTCTTTTTTTAATGAATTACTAATAGAGAGTTTTTCAACGAACTTGACATGATTTTTGTTTCCTTCTATGTTACAGTATGACATCTTCCTAGTTATTTACGGCATTGCATGGTTGTTGTGGGTATGTTCTATTTCAGTCTTAGATCAATTTCTTTTTGAGAGTGGAAAAAAAAAAAACTGAAATTGCATTGATTTTGCCTTGGCTCTGTGATTGGTCCAGAAAACTCATGTCACTAAGCAATCAGACGCAAAATTAAAACTAATCATGACTTGCTCAAGTTGTTTAAGGCCTGGGTTTTATTTTGGTTCGAGACCCCCAGCAGAGTTTCAAGCTATTCAATCGCAGAGTAGTAACATGGTGGCCGATTTTCGATTAGTACGTTCACGGTTTCGAGGAAGTTAAGATCGATTTCTAGCCTAAATTTTTCAGAAGACGCTGTTTTTTCGCAGATGTCAGGTTTACAGTTGAGGTGAGTGTTGGTTTTGTGTTGTTTTCCAGATAATAGCTCCAATTTGCTGTAGCTGCGAATTGACTAATGCGTACACCATAAATTAAGAGCGTTCATGGAAAACGCATTTTTTTTTGGTTTATTAAATTAGGGACTAAATTTTTCTGGTATGTTTTGGAAAGTTTCATTCTCGTCAGTATGGGATGAGCTTAAAATTTTTAAACCTCGGTGTGTAACCTTTCCGTTAGCGTAGATCACGTTTGTTTATCAGATTAAAAACCGTGGAACGTTCATCCCAAGTCATAAATTTAACTGTGATCTGCAGCACAACACTTTTCTAGGCAACATTACAATGAGAGTACTTTGATTCCTATGAGCTTCAACAAAGGGAATTTATTAATTAAGTTACGATGCATATACGTTTCGAATTGATGAGGAAAATTAAAGCTGTACTTATGCAGTTGTGTTCTTACATGTACAGCGAAAAATATATTTTAGCTAAATCGATCACGAGAGAGTTGTCAAAATGAGTTGTCGGTTTTAACCTTTGATGACAAAGACTTAAGTTACATTCTAAAGGTTAGTGATATGCCCATGACAAAAAAATTAAAACAATATTTTTAATCATACTTGACAATATTGTTTATTATACTTTTTTGTTTACAGCAAATTCTGTTGACATCCAACAAGACTGGAATCTGTTGAAGTGTTATGGGATCTTATGAAGAATTAGAATAAGCTGGAAGGTATATATCCTGTGATAAATATTACTGAACATAACTGACTGAATGACTATCAAGGAAATGCTTATATGTGACTGTGACTGGATTGGCTACATAGGTGTCATCTAATTATCAAGAGATGGCACCTGGAGCTGGTTGATGTTTTGAGGTGGTTTAACTTTGTCCTTTCTGAATTTTCTACAATGAAAACACTTATTTTTTTTCTTGTTTGAGCTTGCCATCTGATCAGTAACTGCAAGTTATATTACTGATTAAGAATGACTTTTAACTTGGTTATGAAACTGAGTCAGATGGTTGTTTAACGATCTTTTTACCGGTATGAGAGGGGTGTACATGTATTCCCTAAGTGTCTGTGAGTGAGCAGAGTGACATAGTAATATCTTTGGGTACCATGTTTAAATTGCTGGTGTGTAGAACAGCCTATAACTTACTCGTTTGCTTTTCAAATACATCAGTGTCTACTCCCTGAGACTTTGAATACTCTTTTAAAACCTGCCCAGCCATGGTTGATGGGACACTTGCCCCTTGTGTACTGATTAGTACTCATTGACAATGACATCCAGCATCAGCTGCTAAAGGTCCCCATCCAATGTATTGGGAACAGACAACCTCTGTTGTCACTTTGGTGTGTTGTTGAGCCTTTCCTTTGCTTTATTGATGATTTTGGAGCATTCCATTGTTCTTTGCCCTGCAAATTATATGTGCTGAGCCAGGTGAAGGCCTACATAATTTTTCTTTTAAGAATTTTCAACATTCTTTATTAATTTAATTTTTCTTCACAATTTTTTCTTTGCATTAACAGGTGATTCCTTCTTTGTTAACCCAGCCTCAGGAACCATTGGATATTACTTTGCCAAAGGACTTTCCCAATTGCTCCTTACATACTTTGTCAAATTCATGGTAGATTACTGTCCCAAAGTTTTTCACCTCTTTCTGTGTTTGTTTGGGAAGTTTTTTCGCCAGTCAGTTCTTTTGCTTCACTGTTAACATCTGTAAATGGCTCCCTTTTGCTCATCACACAGCATGTATTTTTCTTGTATAGGCTACTTTCTACTGTTGTTAAAATAAAGCAGTAACACCATGCAGGGGTGATTTACCTGGGCAGTTTGCTGCCAGCTTTCAATAGAAAAATTTTTTAGCTACCTCCTCTATTTTTTGATGGTGAACACTGTGAAATTTAGTGATCAGTGGCCATATCATTCTTGAGAAAAAAGCATCAATGATAGGAATTTTTGTTTGTAGTTGATGCTGCTTTTTTCCTATTTGTAAGTATTTGGAAACCTTCAAAAGATTTGTAGAGGAAAGAACACTTTCACTGACATGTTGATGAGGATATTCATTGAAATCTCCTCATACAACCGATACCTCTCTTCCAGATGCCAGCTTATGTATGTCTTTTCAGACTCATTATCATATCTTGTTATTATTTCTTATTCTCTTTCCTTTCGATTTTTTTGTACTTTTTGAAACTTGTCAGCATGAAAATTTGTGCAATGTGAGCATGCAAATTATTTCTCCATCAAAATGGGTTGAAGGGAAGAATCTGATTTTAAAGTTCCTTGTTTGTCACCTTTTTTTTTTTTATTAATGCTAGCCTAAATAAGACTAAATATTACTTAAAAAATGGTTTTTGTAAGTTCAAAGTGCAGGAGTGTTATGTTAAAAACTGTTAGAGCACCAATACCAGAAGTAATTTTTCCCCTCCTCGTCCTTTTGCGGCTTAACATTGTTACTCGTTGGTAAACTGATTTCGCAGCCAAGGCAAGAGAAGCATTTGGGAATTTCTATTTAAAAGCTGTCGTATATTTCACTCCATAGGAAACCATAAGCCATACAATGCGTTCCACGCGTTGAAATTGCATAAAAAACAATAAATACAAAAAACCCAAATTATTAACCATCACTGAAGTATTTCAGTATTCCTAGAATTACAAGAATCACAAACATACTATTCTAGAACACAAAATAGTATATAAGTCAGTGTTTTAGGCAGTACCACTTTTCGCCGCAGTGGTTGTCCTGCGACCGACGCTGACCACCATATTCGATTTGCGCCTTCGTAATCAGCGGTTTAGTGTAATAGTCGGTTCGTCATTATGTATTATTATCGAAAGTAAACAAAATAGCGGCATTTTTCGTAGCCCCAAAAGGGTTAATTATAACGCTCCCGCCGGTGCCGAAGTTTTCGTTTCACGCAATTATTTCTTGAAAAATGGAAGAAGGTATTGATAAACTTTGTCTTCACGTTCGGAATGATGTGTCAAGTACAGTTGATAACAAACAAAATGCTATTAAGTTTACGAAAGTTTTTTCGCAGCTCTTAAAAATCTTAATTCTCTTTTTGAAGGAACGAAGGAGGTTCATTCCAAACGTAGATGGCTAGAAATTTTTACTGAGTATTTGTTTCATTCATTGATCAGTGAAGAGTGTGTGTAAATCTTACCAATTCCGATAAAAACTGATTGAGTAGCGTTTTGATCACGTGACCCGACACGTGACTTTCGTCGTCGTTATTGTAGCTATAAGGTAAAAGTTCTTACGGAAAACTATCTTTCACGAAAGTTTGAGCGCAATCGGCTGTGTATTTGCGGAGATATAGCTCTTTATTTCCTTAGGAAGATTTACTATCTTGACCCAGGCCCTAAACTACTTGAATGGTCGCCCTGGTTTTCCTGCGCTTTAGGCACTCTAGGTGTTTTACCTTAATCTATAGCTGCCTCTTCCAAGTGTTTTTCTTTTTTCTGATTACTTGGTCGGTTCTGGTTTTAACATACTCGGTCAAAAAGCGCTCTATTCTCCTATTCAATTAACTACATACTCTTAAATTGATCATTGCCTCCCTCTTTTTTCTCTAAGATCTACTTCATTATAGTGGTGTATTCGTACATCGAAGCCCTTCGTGAAGATCCTTCGGGAACGAGTGCAGGATTTTCTCCCCCTCTGACAGGCGGTAACCAAACCCAGATGGTAATTACATTTCCATTGCTGTAATGCTACATGACCTTCGAAGTCAAATTCGCTATGAATATTTTTGTTATTGAGCAAAAGTACGCTACTATAGCAGATGGAATAGCATTCCATTTAAGGGCAAAGGAGGGCGCTCTTCAAATGCTAAAGCTATTAATATTGGTAACGAGAGCAAGTGAAGTCCAATTCGGTCTGCAATCATACAGGTGATTAAGAAAATCGGACGACCGCTAAGCTATCAATCTCGTGATTTGTCAGTCACGAATATAATTATAGACAGAATTGGACATCACAAAGTCCTTTTACCCATAAATCATAACCATTACAATTTCGGAAAAAAACCCAATACATCTAGGACAAACATCTCCGCTAGAGAAGATGTCTTACGTAAAAAAAATTCCTCCATTTGGGAAATTCCCCAGTTTTTTTTTCTCTTTTTTTCAGGATGAGTAGTTGTTGCTATTGTTATTGTGATCAATTCTGTGATTGGTGGATTTAGCTGAGTGGACTTAGTATAACTAGAAAATTACAGCCGACTGTCCGATTACACCGTTCGATTACAACGGTACAGAATGATTAGTGAAAAATAAATCAGCTGATGCAGCAATCACATTTTAGGAAATCGTAACGGTTGTGATTAGGGCTGGAATAAGGTACATTAGTGTGACTCTGGTGTGTCACTTACAATCTGCAATACTTGAACCCCATAGCATCAGTTCTCTTCCCTAAAGGTAATGTATATTTTAATACATGACGCTGAAAATCCATCTTAGCTTAGGTCTCCTAACAGCATTTCCATCTCAGCGTATCCAGACTGATATTTCGACTCGAGAATTCTGTTATCCGAACGATTGCCTTTCCCCGCGAAGCAATTTTTAGCTGTGTAATGGCTAGGTTCAAACTGCTCACTTCTACTCTGCCTCTAAGTTTAACTTGAACTGCGCTTTCTGAATGGTCAACTGGTTTAACTGCGAGTGAATAAGACTTTTTTCAGCAATTAACGATCCATTTCAAGAGATTCTAAACTATTCTCTCTCGTCCACTTATTCTACTTGGGAATGAATTCACAGGATGAAATGACTAAATTAAGTTTCCTCAAAGGTAACTTAAAGGTTAACATTAGAAGTATTTAAGACATCTTTAGGTGACATACGAAAGTTTTGAAATGAATCTTTAATTGAACTTTCAGAAGTCAATTAAAGTCTCCTTATGAACCATTTCATGAACACTTTAGGATCACATGAAAGTAAACCTAAATAACCATTTAATTGACTTTAAGAATCCTCCTAATTCTCCTAAACTCGTCTTTAATTGCCAAAACTTCTACTTGTAAAGGCAACTTAAAGGTTTCTTTAATCTTTTGTTTCCCTTTAAGTACTACTTAAAGTTGCAGGTTTTGTTGTAATTCATCTTTAGTTGTACTTTCAGGTCCTCTTAAATTTCAATTTTTGTTAAAATTCATCATTTAGTGACCTTTAAGTGCCTCTAAAAGCTGTAGGTTTTTTAGAGGGCACGGTAACGAATCTTGCAATCTGATTGGTTCTTTACCCGGTCAGTATTTTCCTATCTCTGCCCACGGGCCACGGTAACGCTTTCGTGAATCGCCGGGTGCATCCCAACTTTCGTTGTCATTTTTCAGAAATATACCTCGTTTTCCGGCTGGGAAGTATTTTTAAGCAAACACGTCGGTCACTACCTCAAACCGATAAATAACTTATGAATCCTCTCTTTTCTCTCTATCAAATCACTTTGGTTGAAATATTGGTTTCAGAATGAATTTGTATAAACAATATTGTCATTACGTTGGTTGACAAGCGGCCTAAAAACCGTCTGCAATTAATTTTAATCGTTCACAAAAAGTACCCAGAAAGTTGAAACGTGAGGTATTTGGTTACAGTTAAACTGAACGATGGAACTTTCATTCATTTAATATCTGAATTTTCTCGAGCAATTTGTTCGTAGTGAAATAGCGAGCGAAGTTTTAATTTAAGTTCTACAACAAATATACGCTCCCGGTGAGTCTTTCCAATTCCGTTCAATTTGGACATTTGTACGGTAAATTGCACAACAGAAATTGAAGGAATTTTTTGAGAAAAGGCCGCATTAAATTCCCTTGTGTCTCGTTGGAGTGTGCCGTTCGAATTTAGTTTTTGTGAAGGAAAGACCAGAGTTAAACACGCCATTACAGCAAACAAACGAGCAAACTCTCACAACTTCAAAATAAAAAAAAAATTGAATCTACTCACAATTACTTTCCTCGCCGTTTACTTAATGAACAGACTCGGTAAATCTTCGCACATGAATGAATGGTCGATGAGAGTGAATAATACTTTCCGTTAGATCATTGACTGTTTTTTCATTCTTCTACTCTCCCATTGAAGGTGATGGACAGAGTATTTTGTTACTTTTGAGTTATTTATATCATCATCCTCGTAACAGCTTTCTTCACTGCTCATCGCCTCCATCACAAGAACCTCCGCCACTCTCCCCTTTTCGTGCTGGTCAGCCCAGTTGACCAGCTCCAGGGCTGTAGTTCGTCTCATTAACTTCTGAAAAAAACAAAAATATACAACAAGCATGAGAAGTGTATTATAAAACCTCAAATGGAAAATATGATCCAAATTACTAATTTCTCTTGATATGCATGTGCACACAGTGTAAGAATGGAATTCTTAAGCATGTTATACAATAGAGTCTCCTTGTCCATTATTTTTCATCAAATGGTCCATACAAGCTATCATTGATCTCAAATCACATCTCAATATATTTCATTCTTTTCCTCAACTACAGATCCATCTTTAAAATAATATTATACAATTACCAAATTTACTTTACAAAGATTTTCTTTACGTTTGAACGTGTCCTTTAGTAGCATGTCGTAATGATGTGGGATATTGATCAAATGAAGCCTTTAAGTGCTACTGTGGTACTTCCTTTCTTTATTTACTCCGAGCTTTCGCCGTTCTACGGCATCATCAGGGAGGACGATAAAATATTTGCGCTATGGTTTTAAACGTTGGAGGTGCCACTGTAAATTAGCATTTACACTATGCTAATTTACAGTGGCACCTCCAACGTCTAAAACCATAGCGCAAATATTTTATCGTCCTCCCTGATGATGCCGTAGAACGGCGAAAGCTCGGAGTAAATAAAGAAAGAAAGAAGCACTTAAAGGCTTCATTTGATCAATATCCCACAAGATTTTCTTTGTAAGGAAGGCTCTAGATACAGACCAGAATACATAAGGCAAGTCCGTTGGCTATATAGAAGACGGGAATTTCAGAACGGACAATCTATGTTTCACCTCTCATAAAGTACTCTTAAGAGTTATGTTAATGAAAAAAACAAACAAAAGAATGAACGGCAGCATAAAACAACAACCAAAGATCATTAGTAGATGACATAGCTTTCGCAAAAGTGTCCTGTTTGTTGACTACAAACTTTTACAATTTGCATGATAAAAGTTAATGCACAAACTCCGCGTTCTTCCTTTCTCACCTGCTCAGCGTTTGACCAAGAATTATCAACTTCTGCTTCGATTTCAAGACGCTCTTCCTGAACAAAATCTGTGGGTCCTGTAGGGATTTGGTGTAAAAGATAAAATTAGTTGGCAGTGGTCTATCGCCTCAAGCAACGCTGAATAGCAGTTACATTCTCTATATTTAAGGTAACTAACCTTCATCGTCAGATGAACTTGAAATTTCTTGAAACAAATCACGGGAATTTGAAGTCGACCCGAAAGTATATATCTGTCAAGTTCGACTTGTTACGTTTTCGCTCATGCCTTTCGAAAGTTGAACGTGACACGAAGTCATTACAATGAGCGCAGTAAATATATCCTTTCTTGTCATCGCACTCTATGCGTTCTATAAAGGAGATGCGAAAATGAAAACCCGTTGCTTTCAATTCAGATATTTTGACAAAATTTGCTGCTGCACATGGAACAAAATTTGCTATTCCTGTCCGACGCAAGTGCCGGCTAATTTGTGATGCATTTCCTATTGACAGTTCAGATTACAATTAGACTATCTTTAGTGCGTCAATTAAAGATGTCAAAACAGTGAGACTCGTTTAATTCTCACCTCAAAGGTTAATTAAATGTATATTAATTAAAAACCCTCTTTTGTGCCAAAAAGAGACCACTTAAAGGATGCTAAAAGATTTACGTTATTAAAGTTCACCATATGTTCAATTAAAGATTCATGAAAGGTAACTGTTAGCTTTTGGATATTTCGGTTTACAATTAAAGACGCCTAAAGCTTAAGTCAACCTTTAGGGATGATTTCCGTTTTGCCTAAAGGCACTGAAATAAGAGCATTCGTCCTGTGGAAATTTTAGTAACCCAACGACCACATTATAACCCGCGAGAAAGAAACAAAGCCAGTTAGAGTTGGAGCCAGTCAGCAAGGCGAGCACGCGAAAGTTCTATTAGAGTATTGTTCGGGAACCTCTCTCACGCGCGCTCACATCGTTCGCTGGCTCGAAAGGTGCAGTCCTCGCCTCTCGTGTCACACTGCCAATGAGAGCATGCTCGCAAGCTAACCACACGGTATATATATATATATATATACATATCAAAATTTATTTTTTTCCCATTTATACCAGAAGAAGATTAAGCGAACCAAGTTGTAATGATTTATTGAGGAAGTTTTTTTTTTCTCCATTTTTCTTCTTTGTTTTTATTATTTCACAGGCTTGGATGCCACCCCCTCCATACGCAGTATCCCAGGAAGGCACTGTGTAAATTCAGGAGAACATTGTGACTGTCCCAAGAGATGACTGATCATCGTTTTAATTTGGGCATGAAATTGTTAGAGAGGCTGACTAACTGACCACCGGATTGCAAGATATGTTTAGCTTTTTCAAGTGATCATAAATTTCTACAGCTCCCCCGGGAGAAATTGAAATTGAAACGCCGAATATTAGAAGTACCTGTTCTTTCAAATAGCGCCATAGCTCTTGCCAACAAAAAGATATGCTTTTAACGTGAGAAGCCATTCTTTTCGCTTTCACAATTCTCCACGCAGATGCAACCATATTAGTTTTCCTAGCAATCTCCACTACTCAAATGAATTTCAACAAACAACACTTAAACACGACATGCCTAGTTACTGGGCAGTCACATTCCCAAATAATTCATTACTAACCTTTAGCGAGTTGCATTTCACTGATCCAGTCGCCTTCCTTGTAATACTTCACACGTAAATTCTGTAAAGAAAAAGAAAAAGAATTTAATTACTTCTCCCCGTTCATTATCTCATTCACTCTTGTACGCACGCGCAGCACATTTACGCGATCGCTTGTAATCTCAAACACACAAGTCGGTGTGTATTTGAAGAAAAACGCCGTCGCATTGCCTGATGGACATTTACCAGAAAAGGAAATCTCTCCATGCGTGTGAGTTGTAAAATTCGATCCACATCATATTCCAGACGAGCGACTTTCTTGACCTG